AAAAAAAAGAACATGAAAAGCTCTTTGGGCCAATGTGATGGTGAGTGTGTGAAAAGAAAACAGCCGAAACCTTTTGTAGCTGTAATGGAGTGTAATGGGACAGTATGAAATGTAATAAATAGTGAGCTAAAAAAATAAATCTAAAAAAAAATAAACACTCATTCTTGAAACAGAATTAAAACAAACTAAACAACTTGGTAGTTTCTCTGAGAAGGTTAAAAACGGTTACAATGGCACGAGAAACATATGGAGGATTAAAGGACACAGGGACACATCCACATGAGTTCAAATTAGTTTTTATACAGACAACTTAAAAAAAACCAAAGCCAAAAAAAGCACAAAAAAAAGCGCATGGTTGAAATCTGTCAGATTGCCGCCCATTTCGTCCCTGGGCTCAGACTTGTGGGTAAAGGGAAAGGGATGGAGGGTACAGACACAGATTGGCACAACATCACCAGAGCAAGGCGCGTGTCATGGTGCCACAGAGGCCGAGGCCAGGTTGCCTCTTCTCCAGACCAGTTTGAACCAGTTTACTCAGTATTGGCAGACGCTAGTTGGCTCGACTAGTTCATTCTGTCCTGGAGTAGGCCAAGGTTGGTTATGTGATGATGGTGGCTGTCACAGAAATGATTTTTGCTAGTTCTTTATTTCATTTTCACAGAGAGAGAGAGGTTCGGAGGTTTTCTTTCCCCATGACAGTATTAGTTCATTTTTTCCTGGAAGATGTAGAGGTTGTTGGTGGTTGCCACGGCGATGATATTTTCCTGCGGGTGCCAGGCGGTGTGTAGGATCTTCTTGTTGAAGTCCAGGCTGTCCACACTGATCTCATCCTTCTTTCGCTTGCCGCCCGCGCAAACCCTGCGCGGCTTTAGGACCTGCCGGGGCTTGCAGCTCTCGCGCGAAGCCTCCAGGGTGACGTCCCGCCGCTGGCTGCGGTCCAACATTCGGAAGAAGTTGTTGTAGGATCCAGTCATCACCACGCTAGGACAAAAGAATTGAACCAGAAACACAATACAGTTAATAAACCTCACTGTAAACATGATTGGAATTTTAATGGTAAAAGACTATAAAATGTTATGTTAAAATGTTCAAAAGACCAGCATTTTATTATTTTGTCTTGAATGTCACTTTTGATCAATTTAATGCATACTTGCTAAATAAAAGTATTAATAAATCATGATTTATATATCCCTACCTATAAGAAGACATTTTAGGTAATTTTACAGTAAAATACTGTTGAATGTACAGTTTTTAGAAGTGAAAAAGTACAAATTACCATATAACTTACAGTGACAAAATGTAAATTGACATTATCTGAATCCCAGCTAACATCTGATGCTTTCACATTGAAATAAGTATCATCTTTCATTTTTCCTTTTTTTCAATTATGTATATTAGTGTTTTGATGCACCTTGTGTTAATGTTTATTGCATTATTTTAGTGTCATGTTTGTCACCATGATGGTGTTTTGTGTTTGTTTACATGACACTGAGCGCACCTTCTAAATATTAGCATTTACCTCAGCTTGTGGAAAAGGTACTGATAATCTTTGATTTCTCTTTATCAAAGTTTATGAAATACTTAAAAAAAAAAACACAAAGTTAAATCTGTCAAACTTAAAAAAAAAAAAAAAAAAAAAAGCTGCTCCTTTTTTGATTGGCACAACATCACCAGAGCAAGGCGCGTGTCATGGTGCCACAGAGGCCGAGGCCAGGTTGCCTCTTCTCCAGACCAGTTTGAACCAGTTTACTCAGTATTGGCAGACGCTAGTTGGCTCGACTAGTTCATTCTGTCCTGGAGTAGGCCAAGGTTGGTTATGTGATGATGGTGGCTGTCACAGAAATGATTTTTGCTAGTTCTTTATTTCATTTTCACAGAGAGAGAGAGGTTCGGAGGTTTTCTTTCCCCATGACAGTATTAGTTCATTTTTTCCTGGAAGATGTAGAGGTTGTTGGTGGTTGCCACGGCGATGATATTTTCCTGCGGGTGCCAGGCGGTGTGTAGGATCTTCTTGTTGAAGTCCAGGCTGTCCACACTGATCTCATCCTTCTTTCGCTTGCCGCCCGCGCAAACCCTGCGCGGCTTTAGGACCTGCCGGGGCTTGCAGCTCTCGCGCGAAGCCTCCAGGGTGACGTCCCGCCGCTGGCTGCGGTCCAACATTCGGAAGAAGTTGTTGTAGGATCCAGTCATCACCACGCTAGGACAAAAGAATTGAACCAGAAACACAATACAGTTAATAAACCTCACTGTAAACATGATTGGAATTTTAATGGTAAAAGACTATAAAATGTTATGTTAAAATGTTCAAAAGACCAGCATTTTATTATTTTGTCTTGAATGTCACTTTTGATCAATTTAATGCATACTTGCTAAATAAAAGTATTAATAAAATCATGATTTATATATCCCTACCTATAAGAAGACATTTTAGGTAATTTTACAGTAAAATACTGTTGAATGTACAGTTTTTAGAAGTGAAAAAGTACAAATTACCATATAACTTACAGTGACAAAATGTAAATTGACATTATCTGAATCCCAGCTAACATCTGATGCTTTCACATTGAAATAAGTATCATCTTTCATTTTTCCTTTTTTTCAATTATGTATATTAGTGTTTTGATGCACCTTGTGTTAATGTTTATTGCATTATTTTAGTGTCATGTTTGTCACCATGATGGTGTTTTGTGTTTGTTTACATGACACTGAGCGCACCTTCTAAATATTAGCATTTACCTCAGCTTGTGGAAAAGGTACTGATAATCTTTGATTTCTCTTTATCAAAGTTTATGAAATACTTAAAAAAAAAACACAAAGTTAAATCTGTCAAACTTAAAAAAAAAAAAAAAAAAAAACTGC